ATGCTGGCCTAAGGGTAGGATCTCCTCGCGAAACAGTGTTTGCACTTGGGCGTTCTTGCTTCGGTCACTGAGGGAAGTGATGGGTCCGGCGAGGTTTCGCCACGTTGCCGTCTGGTGCCGCCTCGCTGCCGCCTCGTGCGCTGGGTGGGTCTGGCGAGGTTTTGCCACGTTGCCGCTCCGTTGCCGCATCTAGCTTGCACCACGCAGCTTGCATTAAGTCGGGCTTGCAATAGTCAACAAATACTCTGGGGACGATGTTTTGAGCATGTTTTGACCATTTGGGGGTATGTTTTGACTATTTCTTATTTTCCGTCCAAAATCCCTCTGTAGGAGGACAGGTCCGACTGAAAGCTTGCACCACCTAGCTTGCACCGCGCAGCTTGCTCAGCCACGGTGCCACAACTCGCTGTCGGGGGTCCACTGCTTGGAGGCCTTTCCTCCCCGTCCTGATCCGTCCTCCTCTTTCGGAACTGTCTTTTTAGAGGAGCCCTGCGCCGGGTAGAGCTCTGCCGGAGACCGGTGCCCACGGCGGCGGCCACAGGCTGCGCGCCGCAGGGCCCGCCGCCGAGCCTGAACCTGCCAACCTGCCCATCCCGGCGCATGCCCGCGCGCTCGGCGAGAAAGCAGGGGCTTGCCCCTCTTGCAGACTGTGGGGAACTCGTGGCGCCCAATGGGTTTTCTCGCACGACGCAGCCACAGCGCAGAGCAAGGCTGCACGACTCTGCAGGGCTGCCCTCCTGCAGCCTCCCCCCTCGGCCCATCCTGGGCGGCTCTCGCTGGCCGGCCCCTGTGGTTTTCGGCCGAGCCCCGCTCGGAGAACGCCGCCCACAGGGCCTTCCAAGGCCCGGGGCATCCTTCCCGCGCATCCTTCCCTCCGCCGCTCCGGCGCGGATATCTCGACAGGATGGGACGCGGCCTGTCTCCCCAGAGCTGAGCTTTGAGCCTGGTTCTATCACTGCGTGATGGCGGAAGTCCTGGAAAGCCTCCGCCGCTCCAGCGCGCAGGACGACGCCGCCGCCGCCCCCTGCGGGCCCGAGGGCCGCCCGGCGCCGGAGGTGGACCTCACGGAGCTGGAGGCGGGGGGTCGTCCAGCTGGGAAGGGGAGGTGGAGGGGGGGGGAGGTAGAAGCGGAGGTGGAGGGGAGGAGGACAAGGGCGAAGACGGAGGAGGAGGAGAAGGAGGAGGAGGTGAAGGAGGTGGAGGAGGTGGAGGAGGTGGAGGAGGAGGAGGAGGTGGAGGAGGAGGTGAAGGAGGTGGAGGAGGTGGAGGAGGTGGAGGAGGTGGAGGAGGTGGAGGAGGTGGAGGAGGTGGAGGAGGAAGAGGAGGAGGAGGAGAGGAGGAGGAGGAGAGGAAGGAGGAGATGGAGGATGAGGGAGGAGGAGGAGGCCTCAGGCCCTAGGGCTATCAGAAACGTAACTGCCCTGCTACGCCCGTGTTGAAACGCAACACGTGCCGTGTTCAAAACGTTCGTGGTACACGCTGCGAGTCGGTTCGGCATGTGTTGGTCCACGTTTTGGCGAACGTATCGTGCCAGACCTACGTTTTCAATATACGTGTTGAGCTCCGTGTCAACACGCTACGGGTTGCGTGGTGCGTATCGGGGCGGCTAAGATCAAACACAGATTTGGGTCTAAAGGTGTCCCCAGGAAAGTGTTCGAGGCGTTGTGGGTCCGAGGATCCCCGCCAGGTTCGTCGGATGTCTAGGTGTCTTTTCCTAAGAAGAAGATCTGGGAGAACAATAACGCCCCTTTGGCGGCTCGTCCAGGGACGCCCTTGGCGCGCAGCCTAGCGCCGATAAAAGACATCCATGCTGACCTCGAGAGTTCAGGTGGATGCGATGTCTTGTTCTCTCCCTCCCCCCAGCAGGGCCAAGCAACCCCCTCAAAGAGTGAATCTATTGGGCGGTCGCAACACAACGCACCGTCTCCGACGACGGCCTGTTAGTTGAGAGATTGGAGACCGCCTCGAACTGTCCAGGTGGCCTTGCTGAGGCCATCCAGGGCAATTTCCAAGGATTCTTGTACGCAGTCCTATAGGCCTCTATGCTTTGTCACTTCCTTTTGACGCTTCTCTACGCATGCTGGGAACATCGGCAGTATATACATGTTGAGGAGCAACTGGTCTTCCTTTTCTTCGGAGCTTTACTCGGAAGCTGCTTTTCCCCCCTGTCACCTTCTCAGAGTTTGGGAGCCTGTGTTTTCTTACGTGTGCCTCTTCTTCTCCAATCGCCCCCTTCCTCACCGCCCCACCCCAGTCTAGCCAAAGTCAGTCCCCGGACCACCCCCTGATGCCCATCCCAGCAAGTTTCTCGTCCTGGATGGCCGATTGACGGTCCCGGAGCTCGAAACGGGCACCCGGAGTCCACCCTATACCAGGTAGGTGGACACACATGACGCGGATGGCCTAGGCGAGAGCTGTACGTATCGGGGGCGGCCAAGAGGGGGTGATGACGGGGGCGAATATCATGGCGTGGGCCATGATCTGTCCTCAGATGTCATGGCGCCTCTTGACATCTCATTACGTCCCTGGCCCCACCCCTGGGCCGCGCACATGCCGCTGGCCATGATTTGCGCGCCCCCTCTTGGACGCCTCCCTCGTGGCCGATCCCGAATGTACATGTGTTCAGATGTCCTTCCAGCAATCGGCTCTCGTGCGTCCAGATGCGGCAGCCCGCCGCATGCGCGTGGCCTGCAAGTGTCCCACCTTTATGTGCAGCCATGCGTGTCTCCGGCCTTGGTCACCCCCAGGGGCGCGAAGGTAGTCGCGAATCGCGCGTCGCGGCCCTCCTCCTCCTTCACCTCATGTTCCTCCTCCTCCTCCTCCTCCACCTCCTCCTCATGTTCCTCCTCCTCCTCCATTCCTTCTCCCTGTCGCACCCCAAAGCCAGTTTTTAGGGCGGCCGGGCGTTCCGCCTGACACCTCCTCACCATTTATCACCCTGAAGCTTGAAAAATGACAACCGTTTCACAGATGGAGGGCGGGCCGTTTGCAAAATATGACTCTCGCCTTAGCGCCGCGCACCTTCGTTTTCAAACTTTGCAAAGAGCTTCACATATTGAGGGCGGGTCGTTTTCAAAATGTGGATCTCGCCTCAGCGTCGCGCACATTTTCTGTAACATATCGCAAGTGCTTCACGGATTGAGGGCGGGTGGTTTTCAAAATGTGGCTCTCGCCGTAGCGCCGCGCACCTTCGTTTTCAAAATTTTCAAGAGTTTCACGGATTGAGGGCAGGTCGTTTTCAAAATGTGGCACTCGCCGTAGCGCCGCACACCTTCGTTTTCAACATTTGCAAGAGCTTCACGGATTGAGGGCGGGTGGTTTTCAAAATTTGGTTATCGCTTTAGCGCTGCGCACATTGTTTGGTAAACTGTTGCAAGAGCTTCATGTATTGGGGGCGGCTTTTTTCAAAATGCGGCTCTCGCCTCTGCGCCGCGCACATTCTATCAAGAACTGTGCAAGAGCTTCACGGATTGAGGGAGGTTTCTTTTCAAAACTCGGTTCTTGCTTTAGCGCCGCGCACATTGTTCTAAACAGTGCAAGAGTTCAACTTACTTCCAAGATGAAGGTAGCAAAAAGTGTGGTGTTTTCAAGGATTCAGGATTATGCGGGTGCAACAGTTATGGTGATTCGCTGTGTTGAAATCCAGGAAATGGCGTTATGGCACGAATCCGGATCGCCAGACTGCAGCAGTCAGGTTGATACGTGGCGTTGGAATCCCGAGAACAATGTTTTGGCATGTTTCAGGGTCTTCAACCGGTTGTCTTCCAACGAGGCAGTTCCCTCAATGGAAATCAGCTTTTGTAGGGGCCTATGAAGAGGGAGCTTGGAGGGAGGGTTAATTCCAACATCGTTGATGACTCTTGGATGTACACTGGTCCTCCTCCTCCTTCTCCTCCTCCTCGTCCTCGTGTTCCTCCTCCTCCTCCACCACGTCCCCCTCTTCTTCTTCTTCCTCCTCATCATCATCCACATTACCGTCTCCACCACGCCGCCGGCCCGGGTCCGAGGATGACCGCGCGTCACGCACCGCGGGGGTGCGATTTGCCCGACCTAACACGAGTCTGCCCATCGCAGGTCGGCGCGTGCAGCGTTCCAGTCTTGCTGGGCGACTCTCGCAGTTCACTGCGGTCGTACATCGCCGACGCGCCAACCTCTTTGTGGTCGCGCTCCCTCCTTCTCCTCCTCCTCCTCCTCCTCCTTCTCCTTCTCTTCCTCCTCATCCTACTCTCCCTCCTCCTTCCCCTCGTCCTATCCAAAAAACGCGTCGGTGATCTGAAAGCAGTGCCGCAGGCGATTTTTCATCTCCCATCCCGAGCTCTGCCTTACAAGTTTACTCCTATCGAGGATGGACGCCCCCCATCGCAGATCCCACGGTTGGGCCGCACATTGTTGGTCCATTCGCGAACCCCGCGAAGCTTGGGATAGGGGTCGACATATCCTCTGTCATCCTCTCTCCAGAAGACACGTCGGAGATTTGAGAGTTTCGGATGCAACTCCTGGGAGGTCAAATTCTGAATTTCCCCTGGTCCGAACTCGGGCTCAATCCGGTTCAATTCCGTTGCAATCTGGCTGAATCTTGCTTAACCCGCGGCCAAATCTGGCGTAACGGCATCCCGATGGGGCTCAATGTTCTTTTGTCTTTCCCACGACACCTCCCAGTAGTTGCCTCCTGCAGTGTCTTCTCTTGCCCTCTCCGCGGCCTCTTTTTGGCTCAAGAATCGGCTCCGCCGCGCGCCCGGCCGGCAGAGCAGCGCCATAGCCTCGGCTGCGCGCCAAGAGCGACCCCTCGCCGGAGTGACCTTTGGTGCGGGCCCGAGGCTTGGCATCGCTCGGATGTGTGCATTTTTCCTTCGGCGAGGACCATCGAGGAGCATCCTTGATCATTTGGCGAAAAACCACGCACGAAACCGAAAAAAACATTGGGAATGGACGTCCGAGCGATGCCCAGGAGGGGGCCGCCGATCGCCGAACGCGATGCGATAGCAGCGTCGTGCGCGGTCGTGTTCGGTCCCCCCGCGGCGCCCCCAAGAGCCGCGCACGAAAGGTCACTCGTGCCCAGGGTCGCTCCCGCGTGCAGCCGAAAGTCCCGCGCGCGGCGATGCGCCGCTGAGAGCGCGCCATCCCAGCCGGTCCGCGCGAGGCGGAGCTGCTGGCGCCCGTCTGGCCCGCCCAAGTGGGGCCACAGCTCGAGGGAAGAGGCACGGGGACCATGACCGATCTTGGAGGTCCACGGCGGGCGGGGGGGGGGGGTCCGAGGTTCGAGGTTCGAGATACTCGGGCGTTTTCGTCTGTCCTCGGTGGCTTTTCAGCCTCGGTATGCCTTCCAGCGGCTGCGCCTCGCCGAGGGCGTTCTGGGGGTGCCCAGATCGCCTCCAACGGCCGACGAAGAGCCGAGTTATGACCCGAAGACACGACAACCTCAGGGGCAACGGTGAACCAGCTTCTCATGGGCCGGTCTTGATCATGGTCCATGTCGGCCGTCGCTGGCTCCCGAGGGTGATCTAAGAACTGACGCTGACCAAGACCGGCGGTGGCCAAGATCGACACGGCGTTTCCACTTTCAGGTTTGGTCATGGTCCCCCTTCTCTTCCCCTCCAACCGTTCGGGGGGCCACATGCTCGTGGGCGAAAAACATGCCCCTATCCGCGGCCTCGCGGGCCTGGCCCCTGGGCCGCGACCCCGCAGATACGAGGCGTGTTTGTTCGCTCGTGCCTCGAGCGTGTCCGCGCGATCGCGTATCCGCGGGATCGCGCCCTGGAGTTCAGACCGCGAGGGCGTGGACGCGGATACGTTCGCTGCGCGTGACGAGCAGTGCTCTGACCACACCGTGTGGTGGATCAGCAGGGGTTTGAGGTGAAGCCGGGTTTGGGACTCGGGCCGTTCTCCAAGGATGTCTCGGGCGACTGGGGCCTCCAAGGTCCCAAACCGAGGGCCCAGGTCACCGCGCGGTCTCTCAACCGCATCGTTCAGGGACCCCCAAGCTCCACGGACGATCTGCACGCACCGTACCGTGGCCACTTCCCCTGGTGCATTTTCCATAGCTGCCGATCTGCGTATGATGCAGTCGGGGCCCTGAAGAAGGAACCCTTTTCGTTGGGGAGGGGCTCCACGTTCCTTGAGTGCTTCACAGCTTGCCTCAGGTTGTCCTTATGTTTTCAATCGGAGATCGAATCGAAGTCTGACTTATGGAAAAAAGGGGCCTCGTTCCTTATTTAGGGTTCCTTAGGTCAACGCCCCGACGTGCAGGGTTTGCGGACTGACTTGAGTCCGCGTCCGCGCCCTTGGAGATCTTCGCGGGGCCCGGCGGTTCCACGGCTGAAGGGTCTGAAGGATTTCCCCGAGAGGCCTCGCCATACTCAGGTCCCCCGACGGTGCAGCGCATAGGTTTTGTTTTTCTTCGAGAACAGCGCTTGGTTTTCATCGGCGGCCTTAGAGTTGGCCGTCGAGTCTTCTTGTTGGCCCTTCTGGTCCGGGTGGGGGGTGTGCGCTTCTTCGTTGGGCTCGCAGCGACGCAATTGACCTTCGGCGATGCCAGGGGATCCCTCGAAATTTCGGGGCTCGGTACGGTGATCAGATATCGCCCGCATACGAACAGTACGTAGGCGTGGTCGGAGGATCGCACCGCATCGCCGATACAGCGGCGATGCTCGGCGGCGAGCTGGGGGGGAAGTGAGAAGGGGCGGGTTTTCTCAGAAGGCTCGTAAGTCCCCTGGCCTCCTGAGAAGTTCTCTAAGCCTCCTCCAGGGACGCAGAAACCTCCTTCGCAGGCGCGGGGGCTCCCGGGAAGCCCCGCCGCCCTTCTGACAGGGCCTTCTCCTCACCGCTTCCCCTCCTCGTTCGCCGCCGAGGTGCTCGACATCGCTCGGACGTGTGCGTTCTTCCTTCGGCGAGGACCATCGAGCAGCATCCTTGATCATGTGGCGAAGAAGCCACGCACGAAACCGAAAAAAACAGCAAAGGGGATGGACGTCCGAGCGATGGCCGGGAGGGGGCGCGATCCGCAGCTCGCTCCTCTCCCTCCCCGCATGGCCCGCGCGTGGCCGGTGCAGGCGCGGCGTGCCGCGAGCCTCCGGCCCCAGCCGCTTGGGCAGCCATAGCTGGCTGGGCGCCCTCCCCAGGAGGCCCCAAGAGGCCCCCAACAGGCCCCTCAGAGGCCCCCAAGGGGCTCCGAATAGGCCCCGAAGAGGCACCCAAGATGCCCCTGGAGGCCTCGGCGAGAAGGCCCGAAAACGTGGTGTGACTCAGGTTTTGGCCGCCTGGACCCTCTAGCTGGCTGGGCGCCCTCGGGCCCCAGGAGAGGCCCCCGCCCTCTGGCGGGGCGCGCGGGGCGGGGCGTGCGGGCGGCGCGGTGCTCGGGCGGTGCGTCGTGGCCCGCCGTCCGCGTGCGGTTCGGGGGCGCGCCCTGCGGCAGGGGCGGGCGGGGCGGAGGCAGGGCGAGGGAGGGGAAGCGCAAGCAGAGCCGGGAGCGGGAAGCGCGGTCGAGGTGGGGCCCGGGTCCGGTTAGGGGGCCTTCTCCAGGGGCGCCCTCGAGGGCGCGCAGTTGCTCGCGCTTCGCGATTCGGCTCCGCTTCCGCCCCATCCTCCTCTTCTCCCCTGGGAGGCGGCGCGAGAGCGCGACGTTGTTGGCGCTTCGCGCAGCGCGAAGCGCGAAGTTGGGAGCCCTTGTCCCCTGCCTACGGATCTTGTGGTATCCTTCGGCGCCCAGGTGGCCTCGGGACTGTCGCGTCACTGCCTCGGATCGCCCTGGGGTCGTTTTTTGTGCAGCCGTGGGCCCGCCGAGGACAGAAATCGGCGACGAGCCTAGGGGGAAGGGATGGTAGCCAGCGTGGGCCCAAAACAGCTGTGTTTCTAGCATTTTATCAGGCGATCGCAAACATGGATTAAGGGGGCGTGGATTTGCGACGGGTCCCGTTTCCATGAGAAATCGCGGATTTCCGCCGCCGAGCGAGGCGGCACGGGCCGCATTTTGGGGAGGGCACCTCCCCCGATCCATTGATTTGTTGACGGCGCGCCAAATTCATGGATCTGTTTGCGCGCCCCCGAATTAGTCAGCGTGGACCCAAATCAGCTGTGTTTCTAGCATTATATGCTGTGCATTCGATGTGGAGCAATATCTGTGGTGCAATCTATGTAGTGCAGTATCTTCAGTAGACCCCGTGTGGTGCAACCTATGTTTTGCGGTGTATGTTGTACAATATATGTTATGCAGCCTATGTTGCGCGATTTGTGTTGTGCAATAGATGCCGTGCAGTATGTGTCGTGCAACCCACGTGATGCAATCTATGTGGTGCGCTCTAGAAGGTGCAACATATGCGGAGATGCTGTGCGATCTTCGTTATGCAAGTTTTTTGCTCCGATCCATGTTGTGCAATATATGTGGTGTTATATGTGTCATGCAACCTATGTAGCGCAATCATGTCCTGAAGCCCAAGTGGTGCAATCCATGTAGTGCAAGTATGCACGGCCGCGACAAGTCGGCGACGAGGCGGCGACGGCGACAACGTAGCCGCCAGACCGACATCTCGTCCCAGTTCCCTTGTGACAAGGAAGTATGGACCCCGAAGTGCAAGCACTGTCTGGGGGAAAGGTCCTGGAGAGGGGTGCTCACATTCTCAGAAGGCGGAGGGGCTTCTCAGAGGCCCTCGCTCCTTCGCGAAATTGTCTAAACCTTCTCCGAAGACAGACGGCTTCTCTCAGCCACGCGCAGAGGGGGGTGGGGGGAGGGGGGAGGGCTCCTTGGAAATGCCCCCGCTTCTTAGAAGGCGCGGGCCTTATCTGCAGATGCAAGGCCGGCGCCTTCTAAGAAGCAGCCTCACCTTCTAAGAAGCCCTCCCCCCCTCCCTCCACCCCCTTGTACGTGCCGCCGGTTCTCAGTCCGGAGCCCCGCGCGGTTTTCTTGTTTTTCCGGCCCTGGGCTCCCCTGGCGGCGCGTCCGGCGCCGCCCCTGGCGCACTTCGCGCGTCGGGGAGTGGAGTCCAGGGCCGATCCAAGAGGCCCGAGCGGGGCTCTGAGAGTTCATGTTCGTGTAGTCTTTTCGATGGCCTTGGGGGGCCCATGGGGCGGCCTCGGATTGGCTCGAACACGGCGTGGATGGCTGGGCCAGGGGGTCAGGGAAGGCCCCCCGATCGACTCAATATAGTTACCGCTCGCCCCGCGGCGCGGGATGGCCATGGATGACGGCGAGGAGCGGAGAAGAAAAGAATTGCGCAAACATAAACTACAGGTCCGCGCGGATGTATTGGATCGGCGCTGCACGTGCACCAGGTGCGGCCCCCAGGGGGGTCCAGCGCCAATCCAAGAATCCACGCGGCCCTCCGAACGTTAACGTTAAGTCGGGCATGGCCCTCTACAGGAGGGATATTCAAACATAGCAAACAATTGCCTGGGGGCGATATTCCTACTAGTTTTGAATGTTTTGGTGTATTGTTTGATTGTTTTGCACGTTCCCTCCAACATCCGCCTGTTGGAGGACATGCCCGACCTAACGTCAATGGGATGGCGATGTTGCCTGTCTCCTGCAGGAGAAGATGTGCCGCTACTGCTTCGAGGGCGAGGAGGCCGGGGAGCTCATATCTCCGTGCAGCTGCATGGGCGGGCAGAAGTACGTCCACCTCTCGTGCCTGCGGCGGTGGCAGCGCATGGTGCTGGTGAGCCAGCCGACGCACCCCGCCTTCTACGACAGCGACGTGCGGCACCACAAGTGCAACGTGTGCCAGGCCGAGTTCACCTGTGCGCCGCCCACGAGGCACGAGCTGATGGAGTCCTTCACCGGCTCGGAGCTGGGCGCCCTCATAGACGTCGGCTGCGTGATCGCCTCCGACGAGCTGGTGTCGCAGGAGATGGAGAGGGAGCTCGCCCCCCTGTCGGAGCGCAGCCGCGAGAGGAGTGGGTGCAGGCACTGGATCCGCGGGGTGTTCCTCATCACGGAGGTCACCCCCGACGACGCGCAGATGGAGATCGGGGGCATGGAAAAGCTGCGCCGACGCCATGTGAGCACCGACGGACACGGATGGGCCTTGAGGGTCTCCTCGAGGCCACGGCTCTTTGAACGTGGTCGTGGCTGTAGTCCACGGGGGGGCCAACGATGGTTGGACATGCCGCCTCCAGCGAGGAGGCCCAAGATGCCACCCAGAGCTGGGGGGGGGGGCTCGAGTTGGAAGGGGGGACCTAACCAGCAGGAGGGCCCTCGCCTTGGCCTCTCGCGCTGGTGGTCAGCAGGAGGAGGAGGAGGAGGAGGAGGAGGAGGAGGAGGAGGAGGTAGGAGGAGGAGGAGGAGGAGGAGGAGGAGGAAGGAGGAGGAGGAGGAGGAGGAGGGAGGAGGAGGAGGAGGAGGAGGAGGAGGAGGAGGAGGAGGAGGAGGCGGAGGAGGAGGAGGAGAGGAGGAGGAGGAGGAGGAGGAGGAGGAGAGGAGGAGGGAGGGAGGAGGGAAGGAGGAGGGAGGAGGAGGAGGAGGAGGAGCAGGAGGTGGAGGAGGGGGAGGAGGAGGAGGAGGGGGAGGCGGAGGAGGAGGAGGAGGAGGAGGAGGAGGGGGAGGAGCAGGAGGGCCCTCGCCTTGGCCTCTCGCGCGGGTGGTGATGTCGCTTTTCCCTGTTTCCACACATCCCTGGACCAGCAATGCAATCTTTTTGCACGTCGTGTCGAAGAATCGTCTGGAGGACTTCTCTGGGGTTCAGTCGAGCCTGTCCCTCCACAGGAGGATTGTTCAAAAACAGGTTTAAGATTGTCCGGGACGATGTTTCGACTATGTTCGACAATGTTTGCACATGTTCTGACTATGGATTGAACCTTTCCTTTGAAATCCGCCTGTAGGAGGACATGCCCGACCTAACCCTATGGGTAGTTTTCCATACCGGGTCCGTCTCCGACGTTCCCAGGGGCCCGGACGCGGCCTCCCGAGGCCACACAGCGACGAAACACCAGAGGCGGCGAAGACGAGCAAAGGTCGACGATGTCACAGTCGCATTGCGTTTCCAGGGCGCCGCAGGAGTGGGGGAGCGAAGCATGACACACACAGATAACAAAAAAAAACACGGGATCCAGCGCCGATCCGAGACATCCGCGCGGACCTCTGAGGCTTTGTGCTTATGCCAGTGCTCGTTCCCCTCAAAGGAGATCCCGGTGAGGACGGCGCGGGAGCTCGAGCAGCTCCGGCTGCGCCTGGACGCGGACCTCGGCCTCGCCTTCCACGGCCGCCGGCTCCGGCTCGCCGCCCGCGGGTCCCTCGCGGGCGCCTCCGAGCAGGAGCTCCCCGCGCGCTTCCGGGAGCTGCGGGCCTCGCCGACGACCACGGTGGTGTTTCGGCGGCGAGCGTTGAGTCGGGCGTGTCCCTCCACGTGAGGAGTATTCAAAACTAGTCCAAAAATAATCCGGGGACGGTGTTCCGATTGTGTTTGACTATGCTTTAGCTTTTGGTTTGACCATTGCGAGGGCCTTACGGCCGATGCCGCCGACCCTGTAGGCAGCGACGACGAAGACAATGGAGATAGAGGGGTCCAAGATGCCCTCAGATGGCTCGAAGACGGCGCCAGATGCCTTCAAGGTCGTCCGAAGACAGCTCAAGAGGCCTCCTCCAGGGTTCGGGAACGGCTCCAGAGAGTGCCAAGATAGGCAAAGAGCGCCCTCAAGTGGCCCGAGAGGGTTCCAAGACGGCGTCAAGCGAGTTCCCAAACCGCCCGCAGAGACTGTCAAGAGTGCCGCCAGAGGCTGGCAAGAGAGTCTAGGGATGGAGAAAGGTCTCCAAGGAGCCTTAAGATAGGCTGAAAGGGCCCGCAGACGGCCCCAGAGGGCCAACGGAGCCCCAGGACGCAGGAGGTGGAGAGGCGGGGGGCTTCGATCCGAGGGGGGACCCTTCCCCAGGAGTTGCCCAGGGACCCCCCCCCCCCCTCAGGCGGGGATGGGATCAAGGAGCCCGCAGACGGCCCCGGAGGGCCAACGGAGCCCCAGGACGCAGGAGGATGAGAGGCGGGGGGCTGCATATCCGAGGGGGGGCCTCCCCCCGGAGTCGGGGAGGACCCCCCCCCCGGGAGTTGCCCGGGACCCCTCCCCCGGCGGGGAAGGGATCAAGGGAAGGGGCATCCCTTCGACTGAAGGACGACGTTGTTCAATTTTTGTCTGGACTTGTATAGGGATCCCCTCGGAAAGCAGAAGAGGCGACGACGCTGCGGGGAAGTTGGAAAAGCCTCTCCCACACGCCGACAGGGTCGACGGATTTTTCATTTTCGCCCCAAATCCGTTTGCAGGAGGACATGCCCGACCTAAGGCGAGCGAGGGGGGAAGCGAGAAATGCGGGGGGAAAGGACGTCCGAGCGATGGTAAGAGAAGGGGCGGGCCTTCTCATCAAGGCTCCGAAGTTCCCCCGTCTTCTGAGCAGTGTTCTGAACCTTCCCCGGAGACACAACAAAGACCTGTCAGACGGCCCGAGGCCTTCTGAGAAGCCCCGCCGCCTTCCGAGAAGGCCTCCTCCTGCTGATCTCCCCCCTCGCTGGGTGCCCAGCGTTGCACTGTTCGATGCGCCTCCCAGATGGGGGCGGAGGATCGCGCAGGATCGCCAAGTGCATCGGCGATGCGGCTCGATGTGGAGCCCGCTCTGCTCCGCGCTGCGGTCGCCGATGCGTCACCGACGTCGCCGAGGTATCGCCGATGCACCGGTGATGCATCGTCGATGCGGCGTGGCCCTCCGACCCCATTTGCTCCGACCCCATCTGGGAGGCTACCAATCGCATCGTCGGCGGACCTCGCCTGTCCGATCGGAGTTGCTGTCTTGTGTCACTTACCGGCCTCGGGTCCGGCGCAGGTTGGGCGCGGATCGGGCGCGGAGTCGACGCGGGTTCGAGGCGGATGTGACGTGGATTCGCGGATTCGACGTGTGCCGGCGCAGATTGGGCACGAATGGTTGCGCGATGGGACCGAAAATGTCCCCCCCGAGTGCGCAACGGAAGTCACGAGCGGCGAGCATACGCGTAGGGCGCTCCCTTGCGGTTGGCATTCCGGGGCGCGATTCCGCGGATACGCGGTCGCACGGCTATTTTCCGCGCGGAGCATCCGCGAACAAAAACGCCCCGTGTCCGCGGGGTCGCGGCCCAGAGGCTTGGCCCGCGAGGTTGCGGGTACGGACCTGTTTGTCGCCCGCGACAACGAGCGATGCGGGCTAGCCGGACGAGCTGGCTCGACCCACATACTAGCGGGAGGGAATTGCGTTTACAGCCCTCGGGCCGCCGCATGGGACGTGCCCCAAAATGACTGCGCATCTTGCGATGCACTTGAGGCTCCTGCTGGGAGTCCCTTGCCGCGCAAGTGTTTGTCTCCCGCGCGAGAGGGGGTGCTCAGGAATCATGGTTGCATTTCCCAGGAAACTGGGACGATTTGGAGAGGGATCTCACGAAGTGCAGGATCGTGTGAGGGCTGCGGCCCCTGCGCTCCACCCCTCGCGGGTCGGCCTCCGGCCTGACACGGCGCGCTTTCGCTTCCGCTTTCGACCTTTCGTGGGAGGTGGTGCTCGAGTCCGTGGAGCGGCCGAACTGCGGCGACGACCACATCGCGGCGGTCAACCTCTCGCGCCCCGTGGCCGAGCCGCCGGGGGCCGGGGAGGCCGAGCGGGCCATGGAGGACGTTGCCAGGAATCAGGAGGCAACAAGAACACACACAGACACAATGAATCGTCGATTCCCGGGAAAAGATGCGGAAATATGGGAAGTGGGGAGGGAAGGCAAAAACTAAGAGAAAATTCGGAAATAGGGGGGATCCTTTCATTTGTGTCTATTTATTTGTGTGCCCCAGGGCCCCTTCAAGGAAGTACGCGGGCGCCCGCCGCGTGCAGGTGGAGCACTACATCGGGGGACCGTGCGAGGGCGACCAGATCATCTGCTGCGTGGTGACGGGAGGCTCAGGGGAGGAAACCAGTGGCGAAGCGTCCTGGCTCGCCTATGGTCCTACCAAACAATGTTCTAAGAACCTCTCGTGGTTCCCACGAAATGTTCTCATGACATTTCTGGCGGAGTCGCTCTTGCTTTTTGTTTTCAGAACATTTCTGGGTTCTAACAACACTTCGTGGTAGGACTACAGGAATGCCGGGACGGTCGGTCCCTGCTCAAGAAAAAGGTGCGGGATGCCGCCGCCCTTCCCTCGTGTTCGCCCTGTTGGGGCCTCCTGGGAGGGCCTCGTCGCCACCGCCGGATTCGCCTCGGAGTCCCTGCCGGAACGCACCCAGGGAGAGGCCCAGGGAACGGCGATGCCGGTACGGGTACCGTTTGGTGCAACCCCAGAGGAGGCGGGCGCGGCTGGACCGTGGTCAAGGATTGGGAGAGGGCCAGTCGAGACAGCCTCCGCCCTCCCTGTCGCATGTCTTTATCCTGCTGACCTTCCCAGAGGCTTCTCGTCGCCACGGACGGTGCCACCTCGGGGAAAACTGGTCAGGGGGGTGCGTCTGGGGGCCGAGAAGCATCGGACCTGAGCCTGGCTGAAGAGCGGGCGAGGCGCGGTTGTCTCAAAGTGCGCCACGTCCTTCTCCTCCTCCTCCTCCTCCTCCTCCTCCTCCTCCTCTTCCTCCTTTTCTCTCCTCCTGTCCTCCTCCTCCCTCTTTCCTCCTCCTCCTCCTCCTTTCCTCCTGTCCTCCTGCTCTTCCTCCTCCTCCTTCTCCTGCTGACCACCAGCGCGAGAGGCCAAGGCGAGTGCCCTCCTCCTCCTCCTCCTCCTCCTCCTCCTCCTCCTTCCCCTCCTCCTCCTC